AATTTGCAAAGCTCTTAAAACAGGACCTTCTACATATATTGAGTGCCATGAAAGTGTCTTGGCATGTGAATAGGATATTCCCTAACACACTGTATAGCCTATAATGCTGTGTTTGAAAAAACTATCTTTTCTAGAAGATATTACAGTTTTGGTGACTTTAGTACATTACTTTCTGCTGTGGTTTTCGCAGTTTTCTGCCAGGTGCCTAGACTTGTGAAGTATGGGGGTTCTACTGTACCTGTACAGGACATTCGGCAGGAGTAGTGTAGAATGGTCAAACCGTGGGAAGAATGTTGCTGCAGGCATATAGATATAGCTAAATGGTTGCTCAAAGCCTTGAAGTACACCACTCATGTCTTGGGAGCTGTGGTGGACACTACTTAGGAACGGAGGCAAAGCATTAGCAGGACTTTGAGAGCTTTAAGACATCCATCACTGCATTGCAGTGGTCTCTGTTTTAAATTCAGGTCTTCTCCGAAGATGCACGAGGAAAGCAGAACCTTGCCTATTTGGAAAGAAAGGCATATAATCTTCAAAGCCTGGAAGCAGGATAACAATACTATAGCGTTCAGCCTAGAGAATGGCATGTGTTTGTTGCTGTCTAATTTAGGGTCTCATTGCTGTGAAAAGACATCATGACCGCAGCAACTCTTATAAAAGAAAGAAAGAAAGAAAACATTTAATTGGGGCTGGCTTACAGTTTCAGAGACAGTTCATTGTCATCACCACAGGAAGCATGGCAGAGTGCAGGCAGACATGATGCTGGAGGAGGAGAGTTCCACATACTGATCCGCAGGCAGCAGCAGGAGGCTGAGTTCCACACTGGATGGAATTTAAGCATAGGAGACCTCAAAACCCACCCCTAGTGACATACTTCCTCCCACAAGGCCACACACACTCCAACAAGGCCACATCTCCTAATAGTGACACTTCCTATGGATCGAGCACTCACACACATGAGTCACTGGGGGACATGCTTATTCAGGCCACCTCAGCTCTATTTTCAGTTTTGAATGAGTATATTTATTAAGTGTGCAGTAAGCTAAAGTAATAGAATAAATAGCAGTTAGTAGAAGGTAAGTAATAGCAAGATGATTGACTGATAAGTAAATTGATAGATGATAGCTAAATGATACGTGATAGATAATTATATATTACTATAAATAGATGGTTGATAGGTGAATGATAGATAGCTATGTGATAGTTTGATAGATAGATAGATAGATAGATAGATAGATAGATAGATAGATAGATAGATAGA